GCTTAAATGAGATGATGACACCTGTAGTACAGTGATGGGCCAATAGTTAGGGCTTAATTAATATTACAACAGGTAGAACCAACCAGCATTAAATTGCCACATGGGGTTGCTCTTTAGGTGGCGTTTTCTACCATTTTTCTCTTGTATGTCACCTTTAAGCCACCTGAGCCTCTCCCTCCGTGTCCCCCAAGCTCACCAGATCCTTGGGCACCCCTGCCTATTCAGCTGGTGGTTTCTGGCTGCCTCTCCACATTGCACGGTCACGCTCTTTGGTTTCTCTTGCCTGTGAGCTCTTGGCAAGTCAGAAACACCGGAAGCGCCCTTGGCACCTTTGGCACCTTCCCCAGGGCCTGGTGCAGTGCAAGGCTGCAGGAACAGGCATGAGGCCTCAGAGCCTGCCGAGCTCCTGGCGGCTGGAGCCGTGGCAGAAGGTCATCACATGAGCTAAGACTGACAGCTTTGGAGGTTGATGAGGCAGGAAGAGGGTTGATAAGCTGGGAATGTAGGAACCTTGTCTTGTTGGAGCCTCAGGAGAACTCGGACGTGGGATCTGCCTTGCATGTATCCCTCGGGTGTTTTATGATCGATGAAACCGATGGCTTAGTGAGACCCTCAAGTCCCAGAGCTCACAAGTGTCAGGGGAAGTTGAACTGGAAGCTCTTGATCACTGTTGGGCTGTGCCTACCAGATTCACAGGCCCTCAGCGGTGATGTGACATGAGCTCTGGGCCCTGGATCTTCCCTGTGGCCCTGCAGACCCCGCCTACCCACCTCCACCCTCACTGCCCAAGAGAGGAGCCTGACCTTTCTACACCAGTGGGTGTCCTTGGCCCTCAGCTTCCCATGGAACAGCCCAGCAGGAGGGCCCAGCCAGCAGTGGGGGGAGAGGCAGCCCTCAGCCTGTCTCCTTGTCTTTTCCCTCCCCTGCTGCCTCGGGACCCTTGCCGTCTCTTACCGGGTTTCCCTTACCCCACCCACATCCTTGTACGCAGACCCCTTTAAACTCTCCCCCCTTACCCTGGTTGAGAGCGCCTGTCACCTGCCCCTGCCAGGACCCTGACGAACATTGGCATGTTTTAGAAAGTCTGATTTAGCCCTGTCATTTATTCCTCGCGGTGCATGGAAGGGGGAGCCTAGGAGAGAGGCAGCCAGGTGTGTGGATGAAGGCACAGGGCCTGGCTCTCAACTTCGCTGTTCACAAAGGGCTCCAGTTGAGGCCTTGGCCTTTTAGATTCTGAGTGAAGGATTTTATAGATGGAGTCACAGGGACACTCTGCCAAGATGGGAACAAAAATGCAGTGCAGCAGATATGACTGTGTTCTGTGTGCACAGGCGTGTCCTGAGAGCTTCAGAAATAAAAATGGAAGTGGTCCGAGTCTTTATGAGCCCTAGGGTGAGGCTGATTCTGTTGTGCAGGGCTGCAGGTTAGGAGGAGTTGGTTTAAAAGGTAGTCATAGTATGGAAGTGGGACGTCAAGGTCAAGGTGTGTTGGGCAAGGAAGCATTTTTAGCATATGGGCGCTGAGTGTACCCAGGAAGGATGGAGGAGGGAGCGGTCAGAGGTTATTCTGATGTTTATAGACCAGGCGACAGGTTTCATGGGGCAGTCACATGGGGAGGGACTTGCAGAGAGGGGAGGAGATGACGCGTGGGCCCGCTTTGGTGTGTATGTAGGGGTAATGCTTATATGTCCAGGAGCTGGGGAGAGCCCTGTGAGTAGGTGTCGTGTAGGAAGAGTCCAGTGTTCAGAGTGGACCGCTGATGGGATGGCTGTAGCCTTGGGCCAATTAGGATGGCATCAAGGGCAGCTGTCAATAGTTTTGTTTTCTCTGGGGCCCGGTTTGGGGAACTGGTGGTGGTTCCCAGAGAGGAGAGAGCGAGCTTTGGCTCATCAGCATAACCAAAGGAGGCTGTGAAACAAGGACCTGTCTGGGGGAGGGGAGCTGTGGACAGGAGAGAGGACTCCACAGTGAGGGTCAGCCCGCAGGAAGGACCAGGGAGAAGACCCCTCCGTGTGGTGTGGGGCGTTGTTAGTCACAGTTAATGCCCGGCCATGTGGTTGATCGGTGGGTTTCTACTGTACCTGGGGCGGTGGGTAACTGGAAGTCCTTGGCAGAACTCTTTTCTCATAAGTTGGTATGTCTTCCTGCGAAGTCAGGGAGCTTAATCTCTCTCATCTCAGGGTTTGCTCCTTTTATGCAGGTGTGGGGATCTGCATAAGCCTTGGGTCATCTGCGTGGGTGACTTTGTAGAGGAGTGGCGAGAAGGGAGGTGACTACGAGTACTCCCTCCAGGTCAGGTGAGCGTCTCAGGAGAGAAGGGGTTGGGGAAGCTTGGCTAGAGTGGTAGAGGTCAAGGCAGAGGTCAAGACCTGGGTTCTGGCTTTGGTGCTTCTTTACCAGCTGTGTGTCCTTGGGTAAGCCACCTGCTGTCTCTGGGCCTCAGCGCCCACTTCTGTAACTGAGTTGTTGCTCAATGATTTAAGCATGTGGGGACTCTGAGTTTCAGATTGCTCATTGGTTTTGTCACTGGGGGGAAAGGGCCTTGGATCCCTGTGTCCCTGGCTTGGCTCTGCATCCTTTATCTGGTTTAATTTCTGCCCAGAGGGACATAGAGAGTGGAAAGCCTGGTTTTATCTCCATCCTGAAGCTGCTCTCTTCATCTTTCCCTCCTGGGCCTGGGGCACATGCACAGAGCCAGGGAATTGTGTGACCTTAGGTTGTGTCCTCTGAGCCTCAGTGTCCTCATCTGTAACAGGGGATGATATTCCTGAGAGAGATGGCTTCCGTGCAAGGCTTGCTTCTTCCTCCACTAGGATTTGGAGCTGCTGGGTGAGGGACCTTAGGGAAAGGCCCTTGAAGGTGGGGCGACTGCAGCGGAATCCTTTATGATTAACAACCACCAGGGCCTTTTTGGGTCCCCTTAGAAGGGGAAGGAGCTGAGATTATTTTCGTTACCACGTTTAGCTCTCACTTCTGGAAACTTGTCCCCAACTTCCTTTTTCTGCAGTTAACTTTGGGGCTTTGTGTCTGAAATTGTGGAAATGGGTTTCTTCCTATTTCACTCCCAGGCCCACTGAGGCTTGGAGCCAATTTTAGAAAGATGAGCTTTCTGCTGATTGTATTCTTTTAAAAAGTATTTACAGCCCGGCCAGCGTGGCTTAGTGGTTGAGCATCGACCTACGATCTGGGAGATCTCGGTTTGATTCCTGATCAGCGTGCATGCCCAGGTTTTGGGCTCTATCCCCAGCGGGGGGTGTGCGGGAGGCAGCCGATCAATGACTCTCTCCCATCATTGATGTTTCTCTCTCCCCCTCCCTCTCCTTTCCTGTCTCTGAAATCAATACTGTATATATATATATGTATATATATATATGTATTTACAAAGTGCCCACCATACCAGGTATCTTTTGGGGTGTTGTCCGCAAGGGTTTAATGTTTTCCAGCTAATGGGCAAAAAAAAATTGCTGCCCTGAGCTACTTGTCTAGTAAGCAACTCATTGCTTTCCTCCCTCTCCTGTGACCCAGCCTGGATTCGGTGGGTGGACGCATAGCATTGTTTGAGGGGCGGGATGGGAGGCAGGAGGGGAGCTGAGAGAGTTTAGGCCTGAGATGATGAGGGCGTGAGGGTAGAGTGGGTGGTGGGGATGGAAGTTTGAGAGGGGGGTGGGTAGGATGGGAGAATCGGGACTTGGCCCCATTGCAGGGAGTCAGGAAAGAGAGGAGGAGTGCTGGGGCCCTCTGAGCACTGGTGCCTGGGCCACTGGGCCACTGGGCCATGGGACCGGGAACAGGCCCTTCCTTCTGTGTCCCTCCCCAACCCACGAGATGAAAACGGGCGTTGCCCTTGCCCTCACCATTTGACAGGTGCAAATGGCGGGATGCAGGAAAGGGATGCTGGGCTGGTGAATCAGGCTCCTGGACCCAGCAGCTTTGGCCTTGCCCTGGAGCCTGGGGGCACGTCTTTGCCCATATCTGGACCTTTGGGATTGCCTCCTCTCCGAAACAAGAGGCTTGTTCTTTTCTTCAGTGGCAATGATTGAGTGCCTGCTGTGTGTGCCATTCTAGGCACAGGGCACAGGTGAGGGTTCTGTTCTCGTGGAGTGTACAGTTTGGTTGGAAGAGACTGACAATAATTGAGGTAAATGCTGAGGAGAAAACACACCAGTGATGTGACGGAGAGTGAAGGGCACTGACTTCCATTGGTTGGCTGGAGAAGGTCTCGCTGAAGAGGTGGCATTTTAGGCTGTGCCATGGGGAGGCCTGGCCAGAGTGTTTCGGAGAAGCCAATAAATCCCTAAAAGCTCTAAGGGGGAACGAGTTTCGAGAACATTGCGAACGGCATGAGGGGGAGAGGAGAGCAGAGGGGCCATGGGCTGTGGCTCAGAGCTTAAAGTTTATTCTAAGAGTGATGGGAAGTTGGAGGACATTGTTTTCCACTAGGGTCCCTTTTGATGATTTTTCTGTCCATGAGGACCATGCTTTGAAAAATCCTGTTAACCAAAAAAGGCGTGTTTATTAAACAATAGGACGCAGAACTTCGGCTTTTAAAGTATGGGGAAATAATTTATGGATCATTATGAGTATCTTTGAGGACCCCCAGGGACCTAAAGATGGCAGATGGAGACACTGTCAACTACGAAATCTTTAAGGTCCATCTGTTTCAAACCTTCCTTCTTCCCAAAGCTGCCTGCCGTAGGATTAAAAAAAGAATACTGCCACCTATTGGTAGAAGGAAGAAGATGAATTTTTGCACAATGAAAACCCCAAGCCCAGTGGATTTCTTCTGTCCCACATCTGGCTTTACGCCCTGCAAAGGAGACCTGGAAATGACTCTGGGGAAGGGTCCGCATGGTCATGCCTTCCTCTCTTTCTGGCCAGAGAATCTGGACTCCTGTTTCTGGGTCCTTCAAACTCAGTTCATGATGCAGTGGCAGGAGGGAGTGTATCTGTGAGGACAAACACTGGCAAGCCAACAGCCTGCAGGCCTCTCATTGTTTGTCCTTGACCCACCCTTACGCTGAGTTCCCGAATTCAGTGTCCCCACACCCTAACCTTGGCCAGCAGGCCTTAGCTTAATGGACTTCTTAGCACCCCGCCCCATCATTAAATTCTCAGCTGCTTTATTTCTGATTTGCATTTTCCATGGCTGAGTGAATCTGCTGACTTCCTTTTTCTTTTTCTGTTACAGATTTTGTGCACAGATGCCTGTAGTAGTAAGTACCACTTCCCTCTCCTCTCTTGTGTTGTTTGCGACTGCCCCCTGATGGACGCAGCAACATTAACTGCAATGTGAAAAATCACAGAAAATGCTAATTTGTGAAAACTCCGTTTCCAATTGTTCTTTAAATGTGGGGTAGGGGTGGATACGGTTAGTGGGAAAAACAATTCAATCCATCGTGAACATGGACAAATAAAAAATTTGTATTTTCTGTGATTTTTTTTTTCCCAACCTACATCCACGGTGATTAAAAAACAACTTAGTTGAAACCGTGATACCACAGTGCAGTATGATTTACTTTATGTGCTGTGATCCCATAAGTATTTTCTTGGGTTGCTACATAGCTCCATGATTTTTAAGTGGTGTACAGGGTTTGTATAACCTTTAGAATACCAGACAGCCTCTTGTATATTTTGCTTCCATGTGGAGGGCTGGGTCCCACTCACATATTCTAGTGCTGGTCCATTGAAGGTCCTCCCTGGTCCATAGTAAAATGAGAAAAATAAAGCTATGAGAGTAAGTTTTTAATGAAGCTAAATGTATTCATTTGAAAGCGCTGCCTATTTTGGGATTATGTACTTAATAATTGTTTTGGTTGTACAGGGTTTCAGTAAGAAAGAAAGGTAATACTAGTTGGTAGTTTTTTTAAATGTGCCTTTTGGGAAAAAATGGTAGCTTTTGTCTGTCCTCAAAATTTGGGGACTTTTTGGGTGATCACTTTGTAAGTTAAATAATAGCTAATCACTGGGTTGTATGCCTGAAACAAATATAACATTGTATACCAACTGTAATTAAAAAATAAAAACATTATTTAAAGGCAAAAAAAAAACAAAAAAAAAACACAAAAAAAATGGGGTGGGGGTACTTTTTTCCCCTGGGATTGGTAAAATCCCAAAGTCTGTGAACCGTAGAGATAAAATAATTAGATTGTTCTCAGAGTACCATGTAGAGGGGGCAGATCTTTCTGAAACCTTATAATAAAGAAATCTCAGTTAATAACAGTAATTATGCAAAGTCTGTGCACACACGGGGAGAGTGCTGCAGTTGCCTTTTCTGCCTTGTTAACCTGTTCGGTCAGTAGCTGGTACCTCGCGCAGCCGTGAATCACTGGTGCGAAAGAAGAAAACCTCTGCATAGACGTGATATTTTAGAGCAGGAGAAGGAGGGAAGAGGGAACGCTGATGCATTTAAAAAATTCTGATACAAAATCTGTTGTATCTTGAGCATACGGTGGAGGTGCCATTTTATTAGCTTGCATTTTGTTTTTCTCTCCTGTGTCCTAGGCGTCCCCTGTGGTCTGGAGACAACCGCCACATCTACAACCATCAAGATTCATGCTAAGAAGGCGCCAGAAAACGGTTCACAAATAAATATGACCGATTTGAGAGGCCAGAATAAGCGGAATTTCACCCTGAGCAGTGACGGCACCGCCTTACTCACGGAGCTGGTTCCTGGGACGGGCTATCGTGTCAGATCCTCGGATGGCTCTAGTTTCTGCTGCGAAGTGTGGACAAGTGAGCGAGACTCTTCCTTTGGGATGGGTTGTGGGTTTAGAGAATGTAAATGTCTTCATACCTGCAGTGTCTTTGAGATCACTTGGTTTGGGCTCCAGCAGTAAAAAGCAACCTCCTGCATCCCTCTTGTCCCCACTCTTGGCCCCGTTGCCCGGCGGCGGGGATGCCGGCTCCTCTGAGCGCTGCTCTCGCCCCCTTTCTGCCTGCTCTTTGAGCACAGGCCTAGAATCAGAGACCCCGGTGGGCTTCCCGGCTCTGCCCGGCTCTAGCTCTGTCACTCTGGGCAAGCCACCCGTCCTCTTAGACCTCAGTTTCCTCATCTTTATTAAAAAAACACAGAAACCAACAAACTATACACACACACGTTTTAAAAACATTTAAAAAAGTGCTTTATTTTCTGGATTAATGAAACTTAAGAACCTGCAAACCTTCCCAGAATCTCTGTTCGAATCAACAAAATTCAGTTCTCAACACATTTCTCCACCTTTAGAACAGATCTATAGACTCTCTCATGACGTTGTTGTGAAGCGTAAACGAGCCAGTGCATGTGTGGCCAGCACCTGGTACTGTGCCTGGAACGTGGGCCCCAGGAGGGCTGCTGATCTAGCTGCCTCCACCAGTGTGACTGTGGTTATTGTCACCCCCTCACCACCGTCAGCGTTGACTGTCATTGACACCACAGTGATAAGCTGCCAGAAGTGCTACTGTAGTGAACCTGTCGCTCCAGCAAGAGGGAGCTCAAGTCTGGAGGGGCTTCCTGGCATGAAGTGTATTGAATTGTGGGCCACGAGACCACACTGTCCGTGCTGGCATTTGAAGGCCATGCGCATGCTGAGGGTCAGTCCCTGCGTCCTTGAGAAGACCGGCCTCGTGGCTGTGCTGCTTCTCTTGCTGGTTCTTACGCCTCAACCTTGACGATAGTTAGGACACATCCACTTTGAAGTTATGGTTACTGTTAATAACCGTAATAACTTTCATAGGCTTTAAAAAAAATCCTCACCCGAGGATATGTTTATTGATTTTAGAGAGAGAGGATGAGAGAGAGGGAAAGAGAGAGAGAGGAACATCGATGTGAGAGAGAAATATCAACTGGTTGCCTCCCGTGTACCCTGACCGGGGATTGAACCCACAACCTTTCGGTTTATGGGATGACACTCCAACCAGCGGAGCCACACTGGCCAGGGCATGCCTTGCATAGTTTTAAGGCCCTCTCACGTATAGTTTGAGATGATGACACTGAGGTTCAGAGAGGTGAGAAGACTTTGAGGAAAATCACAGGACTAGCAGGATAGGACTCCGAGCCCAGTTTTTTAAATGTCCGTATCCAGTGACCATGTCCACCACGTTGTGGTGCCTTGGTAAGGATCCTTTGTGTTTAACACAGTGTATTAGAGCTGTCAACAGCGGAATCCGAAGCTGAGGGGTATGAAGGGACCGGCTCCGGGTCACACAGCGAAGGTGGGGAAGAGCAGGTCCTTATGTCCAGGTCTGGATGCTAAGACCAGTCCTTCCCTCTTTATGTGATCCTGTCCCTTGTCATCTTCATGCCAGACAGTTACGGAGCTTACTCCGATTCCAGGGTGTGGCAAAAACGTTATCGGATGCTTCTGCACCGTGCGACGCCTCCCCACACACGGCTGTTTTCTGAGAATCGGGGGATAGACTCCCTTTGCCTCTGAGGGCTCTGTTTGCAATGGCTTCCATCCACGTTAAACCCTTGTTCAAGTCACAGCCAACACGACCGACTTCTGTCATTTCGTCTCTGTTTTAAGGCCTTTTGTTTCACAAACACACATGCGTACGTGTATCTGTATGTGGCTGAATGTATTTTATTGGAGGAAATTCCAGGAGACTATATAAAGAGAAATGAAATTCTGTGATGGCAAAATTCACTTCTGGAAAGTGGATGTGCAGATCAGGCCTTGCTTTTGTAAATACAGTTTTTTTCCTTTCCTTTTTCTTTGGAAACAATATTGAAATAGAACCCAGTCCTGTGTATGCCGTGGATGCTGTTTCCATCGGTCCAACCAGTGTGACTCTAACGTGGAGGATCGATGACCTAGCTGCGTCTCAATACAAGTACCAAGTAAAGAGTGAGACGGAAAATCAGCGGCTGATTCCTGGTGCAAATCAAAGCAGTGTGCACATCCCAGGCTTAAGTCCAGCGACTTTATATACCTTCTCCATCACTCCAGAAATAAGTGGGGCTTTGGGAAATATCACGTTTATAAATGTCACAACAGGTAAGACAGCGAGCTCCCAGCGATGACCATCACTCCTTCTTGCCCTGCAGCCTGGAGCCTGTCCACTCAAGTTGCCTGTTGAAAGAGATCGGTTTCCATTAACTGGGAGAGGAAAATGGATTCTGTATTGTTTTAGACCCAGAAGTTTGGGTCACCTTGTCGTTTAGTATGAAGGCCCTTTGTGTTTGGGACGCTTTAACTAATTCCACCTGTTGGGTTGTAAAAATCTTTTGTTGTTATTGGTTCATACTTTTCTGCGAGGACTTGGGAGCGGAGATCCCTCATTACAAATGTGTTTTGATGGCGTCAGTAATTACAAGGCTTCTACTGAGCTCCCCAGGAAAGTTGGTTGTGTTTATATGTCCAGGACTTTTTCTTAGGGATGAAATTTTGGCATATTTTATAGAGGAATGTGTGTTTCAAAGGAAAGAACCCAGCGACGTTTGATTATTAAGCTTAGATTTGTATTTAGCCCAGATGTCAATATCCTGAGCCATCTGTTAGAGCTGCAAATTTAGCTTTTTTTTAAAACTGAAAAGAACCAAAAATATAAAAAAGAGATGAGAAGCTCTTTTGAAGCTGAGGGGAGGCAAACATTTAAAAAAGAGGCCCTGCTGTTGGTTTTCCGACCCGGGGGTGCGATGTCATTGGCTGGTGAGGCCACGAGCCTGCCCTCTCGCTGCTCATGGCTCGCAGTGACTGCTGGGCCAGTGCCTTCTGCACATGGAGCAGGCGAACGCGGGACCCGTGGTTCTCAACTTGTTTTTTTCCAGCCAGGAAACAGTTCATTTAAGCAAAACCTTTCCCAGAAGCCCAGTTAAGTAAAACGTACTGGAGAGAGAGGAGCTAAGGGATAGGGTGTCTCAGGGACCTTAAAAAAAATCCCGGAACTCCTCTGAGCACAGTTTTAGAGGGGAAAAAAAACCCCCATCAGAATCAAGGTTTCCATATTATATTGTGAAAGAGAGGAAAAGACGGAGGTAGAAGAGAATTCGGGACTAAAAAGAAGACAGAATTTCGAGATCGTTCTGGGGACAAGGGGTTAGAGAATCGGCGACCGACTGTGGGAAAGAGGAGGCGGCGAGCTGGCGGGAAGCATCCGGCGGGGGCTGAGGATCCTGCTGTGCCTCACAGCCCCGGGGACAGGCTGTGTTCACCAGTTACCGTTTACTCAGCACGCACTGTGTGCCTGGCTGTCCTCAGTCCGTGATTTTTGTCCTCATGGGGACCCTGAGGGTTAGGGGGAAGGAACTATAGGGCAAGAGTTGAGTTACGTTTCTTATGAGATCCCAGAGTTACAAGTGGTGGGAACCCAGGGGGCTTGGTTCCTGACCCCTGTGTTACAATGATGTTCATAACAGGTACCCAGAGTCGTTGAGCTGGCTAGTGTGTTGGTGGTCCATTAAAAAAAAAAAAAAAAGATTTGA